AATACAATACCTTAGACTGACGTTCGACAGAAGAATGACATAGGGCCCACATATAAAAAAAAAAAAAAGAAAAAGAAAAACGTTAAACTTCAGACTACGATTATTATACTCACTTCTTTTAAAACCCTCGAAATAAAAATTTAAACAGAAACTAAACACCAAAATTTATCTACTAAAGCCTATATGGAATTAGGCTTCTCAATATACGGGACAGCCAAAACGACCCACATACGGAAACTACAAATCTTTCTATCAAAAACTTTTAGGATTATAACTAAAGCTTCACGAACATTTCTTTATATAAAGACTAAACATGCCAACAGTTAACAACCACATACGGACACACTAAAACAAATTCATAATAACTTGCATGGACATACTGATAAAAGACATGACTTCGATTAACATGCTTTGGAGGCTCAAAATATACTGAATTCAAGTCAAGAAGGGATGCCGCTGGGCACTCGTTTCCCTCACTCCGATCAAGCCACTATTTTTCTTTTCCCGACAGCAGATTTGTCCAGTACTTATGACAGGAGTTAGTAAAAAAAAATTAAGGTAAAAAAAGGATTTTTGTTTAGTTAATTATATTATACTATTAAACTATAAGTCGCTGCTTTAAAAAATCTTAATTTTTTCCATTTTTCTTTTTCTTTTTTTCTTTTTAGATATTGTTAAAAGAAGTGATAAACTAAATTTACGGATTATATCCAATCAGCGAGGAATGACGCTAATCAAAAACAGTAAAGTGTCAATAAAACAAAATAAAAAAATACTGAAATTTATTATTTTTAATATTCCATGTAGGCAATACATCCTTCCCTAGAGCGAGCACATGAGCAATAATTAAAAATTAATTCCACCAAAGCTAGACAAACAGTTCCTAATTGCTATCGGTCTTGAAAAGCAATCTCATGTGCAAACATTTGGAACCACTAGAGCTAGGCTATTAGTAATTGGACTTGAAATTGTTTAAATATTTTTAGCTGGTCGTGGACCAGGCTGCTGATCCCGATGGAACTAATCTAAAGCAAACAGATCCCTAGCGAGTTGTAATGTTTGGCTTGTCCCACATCTGTTACTCCTGTTCGATCACCCATGAGAATATTACCGGATCCGCTCCGCTTCACAAACCCTTTTAACCCGGAAGAGCTTTTTGTAAGAAAAAAATTTTTTTATAAACAAAGTCAACTCTTTTATTGCAACTTATGAGTAAAAGCTTTTATAATACTCATATTTATATTTTGAGAGGACAGGAAGAAATGATTTATAAATTATGTTCAAATGTTGATATTTAAACTAATATATCGTTCCTTTATTGTAAAATGTAATCAAGTACTACAATCCTTTCAGTCCGAAATTTTACTACTAATAACTCCCTCAGCTAACTGGTACGTAAACAACAAAACTTTACATTAGGACTTACGACAACCAACTATTGACCTCTTTACTCACACATACGAACTCTTTATTCACCATTTCATTATAAAAAAAAAACAGGCTCAAAACCGACATTTGCACCGTTGACTTGCCCATTAAGAGAGGACTGGAGAGGAGCTTGATGAGAGATCTCTTAAGATCACGCGGTCATCTTCTTTTCAGACGCCTCAGAAGGTTATGAGGAATAGGAGAGGAATCAAGGTCAGAAACCAGAGGATTCGGGTGGTTATGAAGTTTATTATGGAAGGATGGGTATCTGGATTGGGCCAAATCGGAAACATATGGAACATTAAGGTCTTTATGGATTATTTTATTTGTGACAAAGTAAGGAGCATTTTACCAAGTATTTTGGATTGTAGGGATTGGATGCGAGCAGAGCCCCATAGCTCAACTCCATAAGTCCAAATAGGTCTTATTATAGTCATGTATATGAGTCTTTTGTGATAAATTGGAGGCTTAGATAGTTGGTCTAGTATAAGTGCTGGAGTAAGATGAAGTACATTTTTGATGGAGCTATGCCTTTAAGTACGTCTTTATACATTTCGACCTTATTTTTAGCACAGTAAGTACAAAAAACAAATGGAAGATAACTTATAAATCAAAGTAACTTTAACTGAAAAATGATTGCATTTCACAGATAGATTTGATTAAATGAAATGTGAATTTCACCAAAATCTCAGTCATCATACATATCCTGTACCACAATCCCTTTCTAGAAAAACTTCCATCTTTTGTAAGTATTCCGGCGTGATATCACTTGAGATTCCTCTTTAGTGCTCTAGCTTTAAATCTACTCGTATTTGTACACTCTTTTGGGCGTATAAAGCTTATTACCGGCTAATGAGTTGTAAAAGCTCTATTACTATTAAAGTGTCTATTACTGTACTTTAGTGCTTGATTCTCCACTGAACTCGTGTGTATGAGGCCTTACCGTAGCACCCTTACTCAATCTGCATTGGCTTTTAATACTGTTGAAGTGGTTGAGAGAGAAGCGCTGGAATCCTCTGGAGCCTCGCTTCTCTCTTCACAAGAAGAGAACATTTTTTTTTTTCTATTTATGCTATTTTATTTTGTATTTTATCATATTGCTATTACTTAATTAATTATTTATGTCTTATGTAAAAATGGTGCGAATGTGTTTTATGCGCTCTATTATAAATGCCCTCATCTGAGACAGAATTTAATATCTCTCCATTAACAAGTTAAAAAAAAACTGACATTTTACAATAAAAACAAGATATATCGTTTGTAACTTAACCTGCTTAATGGTATTTATCCATATTTTTTTTTTTGTATTTATTTATTTATAGCTACATTCCGCATCTGCCCGAGCGGGTCATTAGGGGCTTTATATGAACTTAAATTAGATTGACAAATTTACTATCTTTTATGAATTCAAGTACTTTTTGTATTTTCTCTTCGTTTTCTGCAAGTGCGTCAGATATGGTGGAAGGTATATTATGTTTTGTTCTGGTGTCAAAGTATTGTCTGCTAGTTGCTACAATGTGTTTCAGTGTTAGTGATGTGTTGCATGTTTCACAAAATGGTGGTTCCAGGCCACTCATTAGGTAGCCATGGATAAAGGCTGCATGTCCATTTTTCATAAAAATATAAAGCCGAACTTTACAACACCTAACTTAAAAGCTTAGCTCCATCAAAAGTAGTAACTGACCTTTTACAATAGACTGACGATTTAAACATTTGTTTATAAAGATCAACTGACTTTATGACCTATAATACAAAGATTTCGTATACCAATATTACTTTTAAAAAAATGAACTTTTTACTTTTCTTGTCGGTAATTTTTCTCCTGCTGAATATATACTTTCTATGAACCTAAGCTCGTTTATATAAACAATATCCTTGTTTATATAACAGAAAGTTTCAACAACTTAACTAAATACCTGAAATGAATATTTCTCTATAGCTAAATCTGTGGGTTTTCTAAAAGAAATCATTTAAAAAATCATTTTTCGCCTTGAAATGTATAACACGTAAAAAAAAAAAAAATCCTATTCTGAATATTCAACGGAGAATCTGAACGGATCGCCAAGCGATAGCTTTTCTTTCAATAAAATTCCCAGGATCCCTTCTCAGGACCAAAAGAGTTCAGAAAATCCTTGCAATTAATTCAAATTTATTCTCAAGAGGCTTTCCTCATTTACAAGTGTACTGAAAGGGTTAGACCTTACGGCCTCAGAAAAGATAAGATATTTTTTTAAAAGAAAATCGTAAATCCCTAAAACGGGATGACGTCGATTAGTAAAATTAAAATAATAATAAAAACAAAGTCTCTGACCAGGGAAATTAAATTAGTTTATCCTCTTTGTTCTAAATCCCCAAAACAGGAAATCCGATGATACAATATCCTAATTAATAAAATTTATATTAAAATAAGACGGAAAAAATTTAAATACATTGTTTTTTCTGAATCTAGTTTGTGGAGGGATATTACATTCAACCTCAATTAACATATTTTAAAATAAAGATCGGAGAACACATTCTCACCATATTTACGACAATCATAAATTTGAAAAAAAATATATTACTCTATGTATAAATACATTATATGGATAGAGTATCACTTTTTAGTTAGATTATCATATCACATTATATTTATTTAGGAAACTTTAGATGAACCTCAACTTATTTTCTAATGAACCCTCATATTTATCAACATGGTTGTTTATAAAACAATGAAGATTTTCTTAAAGTGGAATATATCTAGTATTTTTTTTTTTTTTTTTTTTTGTCAAAAACTGACTTGAATTAATTTAGCCATTCAAAAGTTACCTTTAAATGGACTTAGTAAAGACAAAATCTATTTTTATTTTAAGTAAATTTTGCCAAATTTACTGTGAAGGAATTGTTTATTACTTTAATTAAATATTTTTTTTTATTTTTCGCTTCCTATTCATTGAAAAACGTGATTAACTAAAACAAACACAAAACTTGAATTTTATCAGGCCCTGCCTTGCTCGACAACCCCGTCCACGATGTATACGTTACATGCGAGCGTTTTGACTCATTCTTCTCTCACCTGGTCTACGACACGCCTACTATCGATATAAGAGATGCGTGTTTGTAAATATATAAGTATTTTAAATAGTTGAGATCATTACTTATATTCATTTTAGATACAATTTATTATATTTAGTTCTTTGAGTTAAATAGAGGAATTACATTCAATTTTAATTGTATTCATTCACTTTAAATTTTGTTTCCAATTCATGCAATAAATATGAACGAAATCAGTAAATTTATACTTAAAGGTTTAGCTCTATTAAAAATGCACTTCAAAGACTTTTTTAAATCGCTTTATTTTGTGTCAGAAAATAATGTCTACTAAAAAGAAGTGGTAAGTGAAAGTTATGTGATGAGCACAGGAGATTTGTTTTTTATTAATTATTATTTCTTAGAATCTGTCTTTATTTTTACAATTCCTTATTGATTAAATTGGAGTTCATACTTCAAATTAAAAAAATAAATATGAATATGAGATTATAGAGCCATAGCATCTTCGGTAAACAAGTATACTTAACACTTGTATATAACACATGTTAGCAATATGTCAGGGTGTCGATACTGTAACTAGAAGCGGTGTCCACTGACTGGTGTTCTTGGAGGACATCACTGTGTCGGAGAGTGGATAACACGTGCTTCCTAACCAGCTCGTTATCGCCCTTCAACATGGCAGCCAAGGGATTTCCATGGAAGAGGGTCCTTCCTAATTGGCCCTGCGGGTTGTCGAGTGGATGTTTAGTCTCCCCCTCCGCCATGTACTCATTATTCTAGTTAGGCTGCGAGTCTCCAGGTCTCCCATCGACAGCATACGTGGTCCTATGATAAAACAGGAATAGAAAGGCTAAAATTAGAGACAACAACTTATTTATAACAAAAAAAATCCAAACCAATAGAAAATTAAATCCTGGTGATTCTATTCTCCTCCCAACTGTTCGAAAGGTCAGTACCCAAATACCATCGATTTCCGGAATCGTGATGAAATTCCGGTATACAACTCACATAATAACCTACAAATTCTTTGGTCTCATTTGATTGATTTTATTGTATCAACCAATATTGATCAAATACTTTGCATTGACAATGTGTATTATTATTATGTATTATTTGAATAATTATCTCTTACTTATTTTATTTTTTACTAAATTTAGGTCAAAAATAAAGTAGAAACAAATATAAAACTTTACTCTAAATTTGTAACCATCTATATCCTACTAGCCATGTCAAATTTCCATCTTCTGGCTCCCACTCTGATATTAGTATTTAATTTGGTAATGACATCTCATAGAACAATCGTATTATTAATTCTTTATTTTTTGGGGAGTAGAAGAAGTAATTTACCCTTTAATTTACTTTTTTTTTTGTAATTGTAGGTATGAATTATATCACTATTACTCCGTAGCACTACAGACCGGAGGTTTTACTCAATGGCCTTCTCAATGAGTCTTCGCCAGGTGAATCTATCCTGGACAGCCTCTCGCGGATTGGGATTGCCCAGCAGCTCCCTGGCGTCCCATGTTAATCCATCCCCCCATCTTGATGTCCCATGTTGATCCATCCCCCCATCAGCCTGCCTCTTTCTCTGGTCTCGTACAGTCTCTCGGTATCAACTTCCTTGGGATCTCATCTACAACCATTCGTCGAAGATAGCCAACAGAACTTAGTGTGCCCAATTTTACGTTTGTCATTATATTTGCCCCTTCGTATTGTTCATAGACCTCTGCATTCATTCTCCTTCTCCTATTGTACCGCTCCCTCACGGTCTCGAATATGCAACAAACGATTTTCTTTTTAAAAATAAGAAGAGCCTTTTCATATGTATTTGTGAGAATCGAGGACTCCGAGTTTTAAGTTTGAACAGGTTTGCTGAGGGTCTTATATTACTGACATTTGGAAGAGCGAGATAAAAAGGTGCTTTTAATGTGTATGTTCAGGCCAAAGTAACATTTATTGACATTAACGATTAAATTTTACAGCAATGATAATATAATAAAAATATAAAATAATATAATCAGACAAAATATAAATATCGAGAAAATGATGTTTGTATACATTTTTCTTTTTCGTTTTTTAAATACACATTTAGATCATCTTTATTTATAAAAATCTCATTAATAATATTAAAATATTACAATATGTATTTACCAGTATATAATACTATATTGAAATAACCAAAGTAACCATTGAATATGTACTCAGTGATTTCTTTCTTTCTTTTACTTTCTCACTACCGAAGGTAGAAAGCATTGTATTCGTGCTAGAGGTTAAAAAAAAAAAATTGTGCTCAATTTTCACTCATGAAATATCGGAGTTCTGTGAACTTCACCCATATCTTTATATTTTGTAGCTTAAAGCGTTTTGTTCTGACTGAGGGAGAGTATTGGTCACTTTAACTCCGAACAAACAACTGCGACTGATATAAGTCTGCTACTACGGGAAATAGCAGAGGACAATAAAATATGAAATTATACCATTAAAGCATAAAGACATAATGATTTTTTTACATACGACCTTTTGCACTATCAGCAGTGAACTGCATGTTCAGTATGCATTGGTATTTTTTTTAAATTAAGAATAATCAATATGGAATATTCAAATACGTCGCTCTTTCGCATTTTAATATTAGCTGATAAACGAAATTCGTGGATATCAAACCCGCGAATGTTGAAGGGTAACTGTATTTCCGAATCAGCTTCTCCCAAAGATTTTACGAAAAATTGTATACCTTGTAATATAGATATATTTTATCTAATGAAAACGGTGAGGGAGCTATACCTTATTTGGCAGACTTTTTTTTCTTCGATACCGAACGGGCGTATTGAGAATCTTCAATGTGACTTTTTCACTAGTTAGTAAACATTTAAATTGATGCAAAGAAATTTTTTACCATGATTTTGGGTTTAATATCTCATTAGCCGGTACATTTATGATGATTACAATGCCATTACATATATTATAGCTTAATTAACGACTTATATGTTAATGGTATGAGATGGGGAATATATAGGTTGATGAGGAGGGCAGACATTAAGATGGCATTACCGGAGTCACCTGAAGAGAAGCTCACCCATTCATCAGCCGAGACCTGACAGTACAATCCTAGCTCCAGTTGGTCTATCCCCACCCCTCTCACCCCTCCCCCCCCTCTCCTACAACCCCAGGCGATTCTCATTAGCAGCTCTCCGCCGAGGTGCCTCGTCCATAAATTATTTCACCTCCCTCGCATGGAAATGTTTGTTTATTATTCAAATAATATTAACCGCGGTGGAGAATGACTGAAGCAACGGCCTTTTGTTCGTTATCCATTCTCTAATTTATAGCGTAACGCCTCTTCATTCCAGATTGGCTCCTCACAATGGAGCAATTATTGAAATCACTCAAAACTGGTAATCTTTTCTGAATCGGACATAAAATAAATAATCTGCAATAAAGATCTCTTTTTACTAAAATTCTTAACATACTATTAAAACTTCGTGAACAGCTTCATCTTATTATCATAACCTACAACATTTTTTATCTACGAAAATTCTCAGAAATTTGGCGTTTTCGCATTAAATTAATTTATTTAACGAGGCACTAATAACCCATGAACACACGCTTACTTTTATTTTGAGTCTTAAGATAATTTGATCCCAAAATCGACAAAAGTTATCCTATTAAAAAAAATAGGCGTTTGGCCTATATAGAAACCATTAACATGGGAATGAAAGTCAAATTAAACGGGCAAATATTTTTATTGTGCCACTTTTTTTTTTTCTTTCCTACCAACAGTATTGCAATCGGGTCAAATGTTCGTCATGAAAATTTGATTCCAACTCGCGTTTGAAACTATTAAAACTAATTGGTTTTGAAATAGAAAATATATAAATTTCTGAACTTGATTTTAACGGGATATTTTTTTTTCATGATGAATAATAAAATATTCATACGTCCTCAGGATTTCCTGCTAACTCAACAGTAATATAACCGTTGGAAAGATGAATTACTTTTCTTCCCAAACAAACCAATAACTCTTTTTTTATGCCCCTAGAATTTATGCCTTTATAAGAAATAAATAAAGAAATATTCCTCAAGCGTTTTTATTTTACATCTAAAGTTCACATTTGTTAACTGGAGTCAGGTTTGTTCCATTTCGCGTATTCTCTAAGGCATTAGAGCCTCCTAATATACATGAGTATAGATAAAATCATTACAATTTTTGTTATTTTCTAAAGAAAACGAAAGTGTAAATTATAAACAAAAAATCTGTATTTTTCAATTTTTAGGAAAATTCGGATTTGAGGTCTCTTCGAGGCACAAAGTACGAATCTCTAATTAGTTTCTCCTTAAAAAGATATTTGAACCCACTTTGCTTCTTCGATAAGTATTAATAATTACCGTATTTTGTGCTCTTTCCTACCAATATTATTGCAATCGGGTCAAATTTTCGATGCGCGGTTTTCAACGGATCTATGGATTTCAGGACCTCCTGATTCCGAAAAAGACATTTTCAGCCATTTATCTGTCTGTCTGTGCCAAGATATCGCTGAAACTAGTAGACCGATTATGTTGCTTTTTTTTTTTGTAGGATTTTGCCTGTTTTTTGAAAGGTAATGAAATTCTTTACAAAAATATATTGAATTTTTTTTTCTGATCTTCCAGATGCCGGTTGTTTTAGTTTGTCAAATAACTCGTAGCCAAATATTTCGTTGAATACATTTCCAAAAAATTAATCTAATTCACTTTTTGTTTATTAATGGACATACTTTAAGATATAAAAACTTTTCTTAAATAAGTAGGGATGTCGTGTAAGTGGATAAACCAAATTATCTTGAAATTCGATTGGAAGGTAAAGGGGTTCTCAAGGAGTTTTAGTACCTTATTAAAAAGAGAAAGTTTAGCGATCTCCAAATAAATAAAAAAAAAAAATTGATATTTTCTCATGTAACTTGTTAATGATTTCATAAAAAGAAGTATGTACTGCTGACAAGAATTATCAATTCTTTTTTCTTTTGGTGGTAATCAAATAAAACTAAGACATCTTGAGAAAAAATATATAACTAAGTCATAATGAAAATAAACAGTGTGTCATATAACAGTAAAAAAACAGTGGGTATTCCTAATGTATATTCCTAATTACTTTTATATATTACGTGACGTCCCACAGAGGGTTGAGAATAAAAAGTTTATGCTGAATGCATCAAGAATAAAAGCGAACCTCATTTCCACTCATTTTATTATTATTATTACCACTCCTATCTTGTTTAATTTAAACTCTTTTTCATACCTGGTGGTCCGTGCACTACCTGGTAAGAACTGTGAGCCGTGAGGAAATCTTGATTAGAATTTAGCCAATATTCAGTTGAGAATTAGTATTAGGAAGGAGTAAGTGAAAAATAACTTCAACTTCAAAAAAAAAAAAACAAAAAAAAAACAACTGAGAGAGAAGAAAAACATTCAAAGGAGAGACAGCCATAGAGGACAAAGTTGAAGTAGAGAGAGAAGACTGGAAGTTGAAGAAAGTCTGTATCATTTAGTGAAAACTGCGAGTCAGGGTAACATCTTGAAGCCTGAGTAGTTTCTTGCAGAGCAGTTGGTCCAGCTAAGCCAACGAATGAGTTAACGAGAATGTCCGCCGTCTGAGGGAATTAAAGCAGATTAAAGCAATGGAAAAAGTATGTAGATAAAATGGGAGAGGGGTTATGGTATGCAGATGTTGAATTAATTTAAATATATATTTCAGAAGATTGGTAAATATAACAGTTGCTGTTTTCAGAAC